GACACGTGCACGGCCTCCCAGTCAGACAGCCCGGCACCATGTGGTGCCAGGACTGAGCATACACAAATGTGCATGTGTGCATGCACGCCACAGCTCATGTGTGCACACACACACCATACTCCACATGTGTGTGCTGAACCCCAAACACCCCATACCCATGCGTGTGTGCACACATGTCCAAATACATGCATACCGCAACGTGTGTGACACAGCACACACCACATACATGTGTGTGCACACACACTCACGCACATTCATGCACGCATGGGCCCCCTACCCACCTCCCCATCTTTAAAGTCCCTCACGAACCTGAGCCCAGCGCCCTGCGTCGTGCCTGTCCCATGCCCAGCCCAACACAGGCATGGACAGAGACCGAGGGCAGGCAGGCAGCAAGCTCCCGCGGCTTGTACCTCCCCCTCCCCCCCAGCATCTATAGACTCACAGGGCTGGAAGGTCCTCCCAAGCCTCTCCTCCATGCCTCTGCCAGGGGGCCTCCAGGATTTAGAGATCTGCAGGAGGGTGGCCCCTTGCTTTCCCGCACCCCTCTTACTTCGAGAGCCTTCCTTCTGCTAATTATCTCCCACTTGTGCTGTCTATGACTTTCCAATACGGAGCTGTGGTGAGTTGGCTGCCCCCTTAGACTGTGAGCTCCTTGAGGGCAGGCAGGGACTGCCTTTGCCTCCTTTTTTGTCCTCTGTGCTTAGCATGGGGTCTGGCACACAGTCAGTGCTTAATAACTGCTTTCTGATGGCCGAGGTTGCTGAAGTGAAGTGACCTGCCCAGGGTCACACGACCGGAGCTTCCTGACTTTGGGGTCAGCTCTCTCTCACTCCATGCCGCATCTCCCACCTGATGGCCCCTCAGTGCCTAGAGACAGTCCTTCTGTTCCTGCCCGGGCCCGGTCTTCTCATCTCTGGGCCAAGCCCGCTTGGGTCCTTCAGTCAGCCTCCAAACAAGAGGGAGAAATGGGAGTGGCCACTTGGGACAAGGCCTTTCTGTATCTGTATCCCCAGTGCTTAGCATGGCCCAGACTTGGTCGGCCCTTTGTGGATACCTGACTGACCTTGGAATGGGAGGCCTTCAAACCTAGCCTCAGACCCTGCCTAGCTAAGCGACCCTGAGCCCTGCTGGCCTCAGTTTCCCCATCTGTAAAATGTGAATAATAGCCCCTTCCTCTCAGGGTTGTTGGGAGGGTCAGAGGAGATCATATTTGTAAAGTGTACAGTGCCTGGCACATAGTAGGTACCATACAAATACTCATCCTCTTCCCCATTCCTCGGAAGGGACTGAGACATCCCCCTCCTGGCCCTTCACACCAGTTCACACCTCCACCTCCGTTCTGGGAGAGCCCATCCTGGCTCCTAAAGTCACTGCTGATCCTCCAGGATGGGCCCTCGGCTCTAGGAGCTGTCCACGGCGCTACCCCCGATTTCCTGGGGACCATTCTGGACCTCGGTCTCCTCTTCTGTGAGATGAAAGAGTTGGAATAGATGGTTTCTTAGAAGCTCCAGAGCTGTGTCTCAGTCTGGGTCAACTGGGAGATCTCAGACGAGTCCTCTTCCTTCCCTGGGTCTCAGTTTTCGCCATCCAGAAAATGAGAGGATGGAGCCAGATGGTGTCTACTCTGGAGCATCGACACGGTGAGGGAGAGGCAGGGCTGGGGGCCTCCGGACTTCCAGGCCAGGCTCTGGGCGGAGGCCTTTCCCAGCCTGGCCCCCATTCTGGGACTCCTGGGGTCTTGGGGTTTGCTCATCCAGTCCTAGAGCCTCTGGCTGGGGACTGTCTACCAGCTGTGGGCCAGCTGCACCCCCAGTGCTGGCCTAGAGGTCATCCCCGAATCACTGCCATCGTGGTCCTCAGTGGAGGCCTGTTCCTGAGCCACTCACACTGTGCACACGCATGGTACCACATCAGTGCTGCCTGGAGGTGGAGGCCCTGGCTTTGCGCTCACTTCTGTGTGTGGCACGTAGTAGGCATTTTAACAGTGTTGATTGACTGGCAGTGGCCAGCCACCTAACCTTTCTAGGCTTCACGATCTTCATCTGTAATAATAATAACAATGACAATAACAATCTAGCATGTACACAGAGTATTAAGCTTTGCACAACAACTTGCATATATTATTTCATTTTTTCCTCTCACAATAACCCTGACAGGTAGATGCTATTTTACAGATGAGGAAACTGAGGCTGAGAGACTAACCAGGGTCACCCAGTGTCTGAGGCAGGATTCGAATTCAGGCCCAGGGCCAGGGCCACCTCATCCTCTCGATGTTGTTATGCGCTGAAGAGGCTGGTACTAGAGAGACATCTTCCAAGCGCCTTCCAGGTCTGAATCTTAGGATTCTACGGCCTGGGTTTTAGAGCTAGCTTTGGGGTCTACACCTGTGACTTTGGACAAAAGTCATTTGTGGCATGCTGGTCCAGTGACTCACACCTCCCTCCACGTCGCTTCCCCCAAGTGGAACATGAAAGGTTGAATCCGGTTCTCCTATAAAGTTGCCTCCCCCATCTGGGCCTCAGTTTTCCCATCTGTAAAATGAGGGTGCCAGGCTGGCTATCGCTAAGGTTCCCGCTAGCTCTCAAGTGGAGGCCCAGCCACAGAGCCCAGGTGAGGTGACATTGAATCCTAGAATCCTGGGACACCAGCGTCAGAAAGAAGGGCCAAGGAAGTGCGGTTGGGGGCTCTCTGGTGTGACCCTTCACCTTCATTTTCCCAGGAACGCGTCCAAAGTCAACCAGTGAGTCTGGGCCAACCTGGCACTCACACCCAGTTCTCCTGACTCCCCATGAAGGAGAGGATGGGTCCTCCTCTTCCAAATTCCACGTTTGGGTGTTCTAGGATGCTGTGTGCATGCATGCATGGGTGTACACACATGTGCGTAGTGCACGTGTGGGGGTGTGCATGAGCAAGCGTGTGTACATGCGTGTGTGCATATGTGGACTGCTGTGTATGCATGTGTGCGCATGCTTGTGTGCACGTACATGCGTATGTGCAGGAGAGGCGGAACTCTGGCCCGATCCCTGCACATCCACAGCTCAGCCTGTGCCTCTGGGGAGCCCCGGCCACCTTTGCCTGGAAGCCCACCACTTCTGCCCTGGGAGTTGTGGCTTCCATCTGGTCTGAAGCCTCCTTCACCACAACTCCTGGTGACTCCCTGGGGGGGGGGGGGGGTGGGGGGGGGGGGGGGGGGGGGGGGCGTGGCGGGGGCGGGCAGGACCTTCCATCAGTCACTGACTTCTCGGGTGCTCGGGTTCATAGACTGTTTACTCCATGTGCCTTTTAACCCCCGAGGATTCATTAAGAGCCTGCTCCGTGCCAAGCCTGAGGGGTGTGTGTGGTGGCGGGGGGCAGGGAAGGGTACAGACACAGAAAGGCTGCAGTTCACTTGGAGCAAAAGGGCCTGTTAAGACCACCCAGTACATCCCATCACTTGAAAGAACAGAAACCCAAGGGCCAGAGAGATGGGGGGAGGCGTTCCTGGTGCTTCAGGGGCCATGTGGAGGCCTGCGTGAACATGAGTGCTCCTCACCCATTTCTGACCTCCGAGTCATGGGCAGTTCCAGCCGGGAGGGTCTGGCAGCTCCCATAACTGGAGGGCTGGTGAAAGTGAGGCTGGGGGAGAAGGACTCAGCCTAGGGCACAAGCAGGCTAACCTTGGATGTAAAGCTGGTTTCGTAGAGAGGTCCTGACTATTTCCTGGCTGGCAAAGCCGAGCTCTAAAGCAGGGAGAGGATCTGCTCAAGGCCACCGCGCCACAGAGGCAGGACTGAGCTGTCCTCCTTGGCCCTGCTCTGAGCTGGGGCTGCACAGCCGCCCCCAGGGCCCTCTAAGCCTCCTGCTGCAGCCTTTGCGACCCCAGCTGTCTCACTGACCCTCTGTGCAGCTTTGGTCATGGCCCTTTGGAGCTGCCCAATGGGGGCACCCGGAGGCCACGCCCAGCTCCACGGAACCTCAGGAAGGATCTGGGTGTTCTCGTCATGGTCCGAGGCATACAGGCTCCCGGCACTCTCTACATTCAACCCTGGTCTCCCCGCTTGTGCCCAGCGCACCCTTGGTCAGTCCAATTCTTTCCTGGGTGGGTAGTCTGGAGTGAGGGCCAGAGGGTGGAATCGCCCCGGGGTGGGGTTGGATAGCTGCCAGGAGGGCCTTGTGTGCCCTTCCTCCCGTCCCCTGGCTATCCTAGAGACCCTCCTTGGGCTGTGGCCTCGCGGGTCAATGTTCTTCCTAAGATGTGGGGCTCAGAGCCAGCCACAACTCGAGACACAGGATCAGACTGGCCCTCTGCATGCTGCCAAAGATTTGCTTAGCTCTCCTGGCTGTCAGATCTCTGAGATGGCTCTCCTGGAGCTGGTGGGAGCCCCTCGGGTAGAACTCGTGGAGACGATCGGGTCAGTCAGGCAGGTCTTAACCCGTGGCCCCTTGACACCCCTCCCTACTGCTCGAGGCCGCTTTCCTCCTCTGAGAGGGGCGGACCTGGGCTGAATGACAGGGAGGGGGAAGGGGAGGGGGCTCCTGCTGAAGGAGCACCTGTGGTGTGTGCATGGGGTCCTTTTTGGCCCCCTCCCGAGGCTCCGGAAGAGTCAGGACTGAAACGTGGGCCCCAGGCTCTCAAATTGTCAGAAGCAACAAAGCGTCCCACCTTGAGACAGCTGTTGGCGGGCAGGGATAGAGCTTAGAATGAGGCTCCTGACCCTGGGGCATGGAAGGCGGGGTGGGAGAAGGGCCAGTGTGTGCCCAGGAGAGGCTCCCTCGGGGGTCAGCACAGAGAGAAGTGTGCCAAGATAGCCCCAGGATAGCTCGAGGCTTCTGAGCTCCGGAGGAAGAGGCAGGCAGAACACTTACTGTTCCTTGTTAGCGTGAAATGTGTCTCCACCAGAAGAGAGTAAGCCCCTTGAGGGTAGGGACTGTTTCAATGTTGCCTTTGTGGTCACAGTGCCTAGCAAGCAGTCGGCCCTTAATAAATGCTTGATGAACGGACTCAGGCTCACCGCTTTGTGCCACCTCTTTCCAGATTTTATTTCACAAAGGAGGGAAGGAAAGGATTTGGGGAAGGTCGCCCTTTCCACCTGCTGGGTTTTCCGGTCACCTTCGTCCTGTGATCACAGCCGTACCTTTCTGGCCTTGGCTACACATGCTTTTGTCAAGCCTTCAGCATTTTCCTCACTCATTCCCGCCTTCTCCAAGCCCATCCCAGGGGGGAGAGCAGAGAAAGGGACTGGAGGGCCGGGGCAGGGCGAGGAAGGAGCCAGTCCTTCCTGGGAAGCCTCTGAGAAGGTGCCCTCCGGCCCCCGCAGAGACATCCCCACTATTCAGCTCTTGGGGGGGATGGATGGCTGATGAAAAGCTCTTGCTCATTCTCCAGTGATAAGCTCCCAAGGCCTCTCAGCTGGGCCCTCATCGGGTCATCTCCGCCATTCAACAGCTGAATGTGAATCATCTCGGGGCCTTCTCCCGTCTCTGCTTTCAGACCTCCAGACACAGGGAGCTCACTAGCTCCCAAGTCAGCTTGCCCCGTTGTTGGGGCTCAGGTGGTGCTTCCTGGCTGCCTTTGTGGGTCCTGCCCTGCTTCAGGCACCAGGTTGGGGAGGAAGGAGATCCGTGCCCTGGAGGGGAGGCCCTGGAGGCCCCACTCTAAGCTATGAAGAGCAGAGCGCTTCTGCCTGGGGGCTCCAAGGGAGGGCCCCAGTGGGGAGAAGGCCCAGGTGGGCTTGAGCTAGGTGTTGAAGGATGAATTCTGGAGCTCCCCTTTAAAAGGAAGGGGAAGCGTTCCCCAAAGAGGGCGAGGAGGCTTACAGAGGCCTAGGGCAGCCTTGGGGTGCTCAAGGAGAAGGCGGGGAGTGGTGAAGGAAAGGCTACTTCAGGAGTGGGAGGGGTCCTCAAGGAAGGCATTAGGGGAGTACTAGAGAGGAAAGAGATCCTGGGAGGAGGAGGGGTAGGGGAGAACACCAGACGGTGGGAGTCTGTACCCCTACTGGGGGAATTCACAGACATAATAGAACCGTCTCTCGCAGTCATGGTCCCACCACGAGCCATCATCCGAGGCCTGGGCCACACAATTCTCTTGCTCTCGCCCATTGGGTTGGTCAGGCCCCAGGGCAGGGTGGCCTGGACCATGAGGAGTAGGAGCCCCTGGGCCACCCATGAGCGGGGCTCGATGCCAGGCGAAGAAGGAGACCCGTTGGCTGTTCTCAAAGAGGTAGAGGCCCTCTGCTCTCCGGTCGTGAATGCCCAGCCACACGGGCCAGTTGTAGGGGGCCAGGGCAGCCTTAAGGTATCGAGTCAGGCCCTCCATCTGAGCCCGGTCAGCAGGCATGGCCAGGCTGCCCCCACGGGCCCCACAGTGGGCATGGGCTGCACTCTGGGCCTGGAAATCCCGGAATAGGAGGAAACACTTGTGGCCCAGGCGGAGGCCTTTCAAGCAACCTGCAAGAGGCAGGGCACGGTGTCGGCCCGGGGCCTTGCCAGCCCCCGCTCAGGACACCCCCCAACTCCCTGCCATCCGGTGTCCCCCACATTGCTGCCTGGCAGCCCAGGGCCCCCTACGGCCAGTGCCCCCCTCCCTTCTGTCTGGCCCCATCCCACACTCACCCTCCAGGCGCCCTCGATCTCGCTGCCCCTGCTTCTGGCCTTCCTCCAGGGCCTCCAGGGCTTCCCGAGTGTCTCTGGCCTCTTTCCGCAGTAGCTGCAGCCCCCGAGACAATTCTGCCACCCTGGCATCCAGAGTGTAGAGTCTGACATGCAGCTGATGCAACCCAGAGTCCAGCCCCGTCAGGCGGCCCACTGGGAGGGGGTGATAGAGATGGGGCCTCTTTGAGTGAGGGGGCAGGGCATGAGCACGGACCCAGGTGTGGGGGTGGTTAGCGGGCATCAATGATTAGGGGCCCAAGTGTGGGGATGGTCAGCAGGGCAGCGCACGAGCACGGGCCCAGGTGTGGGGACGGGCAGCGGGGCATTGATGATCAGGGGCCCAAGTGGGGGGATGGTCAGCGAGCATCAACGATAAGGGGTGCAGGTGTGGGGACGGTCAGCAGGCATCAATGATCAGGGGCCCAGGTGTGGGGACGGTCAGCCGGGCAGCACACAAGCACGGGCCCAGGTGTGGGGACGGTTAGCAGGTATCAACAACCAGGGGCCCAAGTATGGGGACAGATGGTCAGCAGAGGGGAGCTCAGCAGGGATGGTTCTAGGGTTTGTCGGAGAGGGAGAGGCCAGTGGGGCTGGGAGAGACAGTGAGGGGGGACACTGGCTAGGTTTGGTTTTTAGTTTGGCCCAAGCATGTTTCCTCAAAGGATGAGGAAGGCGCTGCTCAGGAGAGAGGCCCAAGTTTGAGGGCTACCTCAGCGTCATCCCTGCCTTGCCTGCAGTCAGGCCGCAGAGGGGTGACACTCTCCCCTCCCTCACTCACAGACATAGGAAATGGCATCCTCAGGTGTCGGGGATGGCGTGAGGCCGGGAGTGGGAGTCGCTATGGGTTCCTCCTCATCTTCCTCTCCCTGGGCACCCTCCGCCTCAGTAGTTCCAGCGGGTGTCTCTGGCCCTTGGAAAGGGGACAACTCCAGGGCCTCTTGGAGGTGCTGGTGGACAAGGAGGGCAGGGCTTTCAGTTCTCTTTCGTCCCATCCTGCGGCTCCCCTCTGGCGTGATCTCCCTGCTCCCCTGGCCCTTCTCCCTCAGTTCCTCAGCTTTCTCTCCTGATCCCAGTCTCTGAATTCTTCCTCATCCCTCTCAATTCCATACCTGCTCCCCATTGTAACAACTGGTACTTATATGGCATTTAAAGGTTTATATTTGGGGAAACTGAGCAAAAAAGGGTGAAAGTAAGCTCCAGACACAGGATTGGAACTCCCATCTTTCCTGACTCCCAAGTCCAGGCCTCTTTCCATCATGCCCAGCTGTCGGCACCTCCCTAATCCCTTGGCCATCTCCTAACACACATCTGCCTCCTTTACCTCCCCTCCCCCAACCCCCTCCCCCCCCCCCCCCCCCCCCCCCCCGTTCCTTTTATCCTGCTTACCTTAAGCATAAGGGACTCTCTCACTTGTTCTTCTGCCTGGGCATCTCGCCGGCCTCTCTTCTGGTCTTTCCCAGCACTGAAGGACCCAAGGGCCAGAAGGGAGCCCAGAACCCAGAACCACTGCATGGCACGGCACCCTTTGAGCACCTGGTCTCAGAGGTGGACTCTTGTTCTCTGTCTCTATCTCTTAGTGCTTTGCTGTCCTGCCTTCCTTTCTTCTTTCCTCCTTTCCTCTCTTCCTCCCTCCCTCCTTTCCTCTCTTCCTCCCTCCCTCCCTTCTTTCCTTTCTTTCTTCCTTCCTTTCTTTTTCTTTCTTTCTTTCTTTCTTTCTTTCTTTCTTTCTTTCTTTCTTT